GATCAAACGCGTCATCCTTTGCCTGGGCCGCAGATGTCCTTCTGCTCCGTTTACCGGACGCAACCGGTGTTTCCATTCGGCGTCGTTTCTTTACTGCGCTCTGTGTCGAGCACAGATTTGTGTAGACTTCAACCAGCACCTACTCCCCACAATCAAGACAGCGTCAATACACACAGATTTACATTTACGCACTTCGTGCGTTCCGAAACAAGCTACAAGCTACTACTAACCTCTTCTTCCACCATGATGACACTTGCGACGCGCGTGAGGTCGCTCGGGGTAAGGTCCCACGTCGATCGAAGTGTCCTTAGTACATATTCACACATTTCCATCGTAAACTCCACCTCGCATGCACTTGATCCTTGCTGCCTGATGACAATCAACACCACAACATTGAGATAAACGCACCAACAGTCAGACATGCGGTCATCAGAATTCTTCAACAGCAGCACCGTGGTCGTCTCTCACTTGACTTGCTCGAGCTCCGACACAACGTCGCTGGTACCGTTGTGACCAACGTAGGGCAGACATTTACGCGTAGGTTCGTCCTCCACGCCGTAGTTCTTGGCCAGAGCCGTCCACATGGTAGCAGTTGGAACAGGTGGTACAATGGGCAGAATCACAACGCGCTTGATGACGGATTGGCTTGGAGTTGTCAGCTGGATCTGCACCGTGCGCTTGACTTGGCATCCACAATATCTCAGCAACTCGGACGCTTTTCGTACCACCGCCAAGTAGATGAATTCATGAACACAGCACAAATGGAACATAGTAACAGACCACCACAATTGACACACCAAGACAATCAGGATCCGAATAGAAGCACGGTCGAGCACGCCTTTCTACGAGTCACTGCTTCCTCACTCCGCACTCGAAAGCCCTGACACTGGTCGTAAAGAACCTCAATCTCTTTCCGAATTCGCGATCGTGCCATCATATCCAGAGAGCTCTTGAGTCGATTGCGAGCGATTTCCGTCTACCGTCATGGTCGATCCGAATCAAATTATCATCATTATATAAAAAGCAAAAATGAGCACACGACAAAGCAACCATCACAAACGACAGACGAAGCATCAACAAGTCTAGAGCGTGTATGCCACTTAATTTCCGTACGCTGGCCACGATGTGAAACGTGCGGATGAAGTGATTGAGCGCCTCGACGGCCTGCGCACAGAGCTGCTCCTCCATTCCCGTCTTCAACGACTCGTCCACGAGGTGAGGCATCTTATTAGCCAATCAGGTGAGCTCTAGCAAGGAAAAAAGCAGCTGTCGAGGCAACAAGACAAGGTGCTGACAAAATGTGCCCATTCTGCAGTCGACTAGCGTCAAAACCTGCACAAATTAATAATTTGTGCGTCCATTTTGGGTCAAATGGCCACCCAGCAGCCAATTGACCAATCGTTTCACTCCGTTGCGTCCGTCGCTTCCTCCATGGCCATCAGAGCGTCGGCGGCGTTTGCCACGCGGTCCGAGCGCGCGCTGGTGCTGAGCGTCGTACGCGAAGACTTTGGCGACCTGGCGGGACGAGTGGCGGAGACGCTGCTGCGCGCCGAGGGACTGCGGCTCTCTGAGGTCGCTGCCAAACTGCAGCGTCCGACGACGTCCCACGCGCCGCCGTCTTCAGTGCACCACGTCCGTCTCTGTCTGTCTCTTGTCAAGTGAACCTACTAAACAGCATAACTGATGGACGGTCTGTTGTGCGTGACAGATCACAGGTGCTCTACTCAAGTTGCTGCAGCACAATTTACTGGACGTGGCACCCGTGGCTGGTCGAAGCGATGGCGTCCAGATTGTGACGTACAAGGTGCGCTGTTGTCCGTCCAAGGACGACGCTATCGCCCGTCGTCCCGTTTTTGTTATGTTTGTTTGTGTACTTGCACTCTTTATTCCACCACGTACTGAGACAATGGCGGTGCATTGGACGCTCTTGTTGGCAGTAGGTGAACGTGCAGGAAGCTCTGTACCGTCTGCGGTTCCCCAAGTTTATCCAGCAAGCGAACGAATCGTTTGGAGTAGCTGGTCAAGTGATCATGGAGGAAGTTCTGCTGCAAGGCCGTGTGCGCATGGACCAGTCGCTCGAGACGATGGCGTACAACTTGGCGGATCAGCGACGTCTCGAGCGGAAAAAAGGACATGCGCAGGAGGGCGGGGACCAGTCTTGTCGAACGATAGAGAATGAAGCAGAAGAAGAGGAAGAAGTGAGTGAACACGAGCTGGACGAGTGCCGAGACTATGTGCGAGAGGTGTTTGTCAAGATGGCTAAGAAGCGCTACATTTCGAGAGTGCACCCGCTGGAAGTGAAGGTGGTGGATCCGAAAGAGGCCCCGGACTTTCCGGCGAGTATAACGCGTGGACAGGAGAAGAGCAGAGCGACCAATGCAAACATTGATGGAACGACTGCTACGACTGATGCCGACAAGCGACGAGGTACTGCTGTGGATGAGGACGGTTTGACCGTGCGAAAGAAGAAGCGAAAGGTTCCGTCACAACAGTCTGGAAATGCCATCCCGGTAGAGCTGCAAATGATGCTGGACGCCGACGAGGCAGCTCGAAACGAAAAAGACGACTCGGAAGCTGAGTGGGAGCCGAGTTCTGCGTCGACTGGTCGTGCGTCCAAGCGCAAGAAAAGCGCAAAGCGCGCGAAGTTACCTACGCGGGGTACATTGTCGAAGAATGCGACTGCCGGGGGTGAGACAAGCGGTGAAGACGTGTCCGAAGGGTTTGGAGCCCACACAGACGAGCAGTCGTTGGTATGGCGTTTCGGAGTCACGCAGTTGCTGCGTGACTTGCGCCACAAGGCATGCATTAGGTTTGCTACCGAGAATGTGAACGCTGTAGCTGGCGCTGTCGTCGCCGCCATGCTTCAGCACTCGTCCCCACACGAACGTGAGAAGGACGAGCCGACTTCATTTCCGGTGTCGGCGCGCGAACTATTTGAAATGGAGAGTGTAAAGAAAGCGCTTCCTGCTGAGGCTAACAACCCGTGGCGACTGCTACTGAACTACATGATGGTCATGTGCCGGGACAAGTCGGGCATGGTGATGAAGGTGGCGCATGAGGTATTTGACTCGACTCAGGCTCGTGCCGGTGATGGCGGTCGATATGTAGTACACATGCAAAAGATCGTAGAGTTCTTACAACACGCCACGACTCACGCGTACATCCAGGAAAAGTACGGCGTTGCTAGCGCCCGCATCGTGCGCTTGCTTTTGGAGAAGCGTCAATTGGAACAAAAGACCATCGGTGAGCTGGCGCTGCTGCCGTCTAATGATGTGCGGCACCGCTTGTATGAGCTGTATACCGACAAGCTGCTGATACTGCAGGAAATTTCGAAGCGTGCAGACCACAACCCAGCCTTTACGTTTTATTGCTGGTCCGTGGATGTGCCGAAGATGCAGGCGCGTATTGCGGATCGCGTGCAGGATTCGTTGTGTCGTCTCCGTCGTCGACGTAAGTTTGAAGCGGAAGAGAACAAAGAGCTTATTGCGCGGTCGGAACAGCTGGTTGAAGCCAATGATCTGGACAAGTTTGACAGGCTCAGCCGTTCATTAGACCGCCTTGATCGGGCCGTGATTCACTTGGATGGTATGCTCATGCTGTACCGCGACTTTTAGTGTACCTGGAATGAGATGCGCGTACCAAGGTGAGGTGACAAAGGGCAACGACAGATGTGAGTCGGCCACGATACGTTTGCTTTCGTCGATTATCGTGCAAAATACCGCTGCTTTTTGGTTGACGCTGGGGGTTCACGCAGGCAACTTCGTGCCTTGTCTAACCTTCTCCAGGACTATTAACACTGCTACGATACCTGGTGTATGGTATGATAGTCATGTTAGCGCAATAAGGGTCGTATTTCGTTCAAGAGTAAAGACGAACGTACAACACACGCTTTTTGCGACGGCATTTGACATCGGGCGAGGTCACAAAAGTTCTGAGGCTTTTTCACAGCTAGTGCGTCGGCACCGTCGGTGATATAGCCCTGCGTCTATGTATCGGAGCTACACAGCTCCTTAAGTCATAGGAAGACTTAGAGCTCATAGAACAATATCCACTCTGACGAACTAGACTCTACAAGTCAACAAGCGTAAAGCTTAAGATCCCTGTTCCAGAGGAACGAGCGATTCATTGAGTCTACAGCACTTAGTACTCAAGAGTAGCTACTTCAAGGAGGTGTTGCTAACTCTTAGCGATCTATGATCAGAGACGCCTCACAAGGTAAGTGTGTTAGACGAGATCAAAAGAGGAACTGACCTTTGTTTACGTAAACTCTATAAAATATCTTATTCCTAATATTACCTGATCGAGGCACTCATGTCCTAATGAGTATCTTACAGATCTTTCCGATCTTATGACTGACACCCGTCAAAACGATAAGATACTCTATGTCTCTTTCGGTAAATATTATACCGTGTGTCTAAGACACAGGATACCGAAAACCCTACGATGTCTAACCTCTTAACAAGTCATCATTTTTCGGCAATTAACTCGGAACACAAGCCTTTCCCTCGAAAGCAGTCCAGAAGCGTTCCTAGCTATAACGGGGTAGTCCGTTACATGAAATTGACACCAAACGGTCTCAATTGGTATATTGTCTAGCATGACAATATTCTACCAATACTATCCAATATAGATAATATTGAAGGAATATTATTTTTCTGTGTACTATTCATGTGCTGCTCCAAGATTGGTTGATATCAGACATATCAACCATAGATTGCCACCGATCGCTGCCAGACGCGCGCAATGAGTGGTGAGCAGGTTGTCGTCATACGACGACGTAGTTCAACATAGTTAGATAAAGATTAAAGTTATATTGATAGCTTAACTATATTGATTGCAGTTCTCTTTTTACCCTTTACTCAAACGAGTCGTTTAAGTAGATTAGCTTCCTCTGCACGTACTAGTGTACGTGAAGTTTCGCGGCACCCCAAACAAAGGGTGCCCTGTTACACCTGGTAGCACTTTGTAGTCCGTCCAACGGTACTTAGTGTCCGTCCAACATGAACATGTTGGAAGTAGAAGACGACAGCTTTCACGTCACACGTGAAGGCTACTCCCATCTGAGTGACTCAGAATGGGAGGTAGTCGGCCACATGAGTGTGCTCATGGGCGAACCCGCCATCAGTGGTATGTTGGAGTCTCTAAGCAGAGACCAGCAACATGCTGCTATCAACAAGTTCCTACAAGGGGAACTTGCCGTCGAACGACAGAAGATAGCCTTGCTACAGCAGCAAGGCTCTCATCAGTCGATGGGCGGACCAACGCACATGCGTTGACCCGAGACCTTGAAGATAGATATCTCAAGGTACAAGGGAACCAATGAAGATTCCCTTCTGAGATGGTTCGTCGAGTTAGACGGCCACTTCAGGGCCCGTCTCATCGAGGGTGACGAGGTGCAAGTCACCTTCGCCCTGTCAAATTTGACGGGACGAGCAAAGACTAGGGCCTCAGGGCTCAAGCATCACGAGCCAGGCGTGTTTGAGTCGTTGAAGATCTTGAAGTCTCGGCTAAAAGAGACGTTTGAGCCGCCGAGAGCCGAGTCCAGAGCACACTCTGCACTCTTGAGGCTAAAGAAAGGTAAGCGTGACGTGCACGCTTACGCACAGCACCTGCGCTACCTTGCAAGTAGCGTTACGGAGAGCCCTGTTAATGAGCACACGCTCATTAACGTGTTCATCTACGGCCTTGTGGATGGGCCGGTGAAGACCAACATGTTCCGAGAGGACTTCTATACGCTGGAAAAGGCGATAACGTATGCGGAACAAGAAGACTTCAGCCTGAGACAGTCTCAGGATGACTCGTCAAACTATCGTCCGACGAGACGACAGGAAACAGGAGGTCCCGACCCAATGGACCTCTGTTACATCGAGAGCGATAACGCTCGCTCTCTGAGTCACAAGCGAACGACAAGATGCCATCGCTGTCAGATGATTGGACGCTACGCTCATGAGTGTAGTGTCCCAAGCACCGCATCACGTCCAAAGACAGGACGTGATGACCGCCGTTGACCAAGGAAAGTTCCTAGGCGTGGGTCCGACCATGTCGCTAAGCCGCGACAGCTATTCGGACCATCATTAAAACGGTCCGGGTCAGTAGGGGCGGAGCACTCTGCTGATCCAGCAACGTCAAGAGAATTTGCAGGACTCTTGGCGAAGATTGCTCCCAACACGCATTCTCTGTGTGTGTCACTGCCCCAAGTGATGAAGAGTCCCTTACCACTCGGAAGACCGAAGTGACAAGTGGAATGTCACTTCGCACCCTAGATGACTGTGGGGCGTTAAAAGGTTTTATTTGACGCCAGTCTCTAGTGGATAGTAGGCTCAACTATGTTAAGCGAGAGATCCCTCCAACGAGGATGACGATGTGCCTTGCTACAGGCGCATCCGTAACAGTTAACAAACGTATAGTGGGAATCCACTACACGCTAGAAGGAAAGCAGTACGATGATGGCTTCATCGTACTAGATTTGGATGACAAATTCGATGTCATCCTCGGTCTGCCATGGCTTAAAAAGTACCAGCCATGGATTAGCTGACAGCATCGATCCTTGAAGATGCCTGCCGTTTGTTCATCAGATGGCCATCTGAAGAACGTCTTGGAGCGTCCACAAGCGTGTGGATGTACTACGAGTGAGTGAGATGGCCTCACTTGTGGTACGGTCGTTAGTACGATTGCACAAGATCACAGTATAGAAGGCCACTACAATATGAAACCAGCTTCCGGCACCTGTGTAGAGACACAGGCTGCGCCGAAGGTTCACCACTCGAAGAGATCTAGTGGACTGGAACACGGATGCACACCAAGAAGGGTGCATCCAAGAAGAGAGATTAGTGTTGTTCAGGATGAACAACACGTTGAAGCGAGATAGACTATCAGAAAGTCGATCGTAGAGCAAGCCCGATTGACTGAAAGAGAGTCTATCGAAAAGGATGTGACTGTGGTAGTACACCCACAGTCACAACATGTATTGGAAGAAAGTTCCAGCGCTCCTGAGAGTGATAACTGCCGAGAGAGATATGTTGAGGGTGTGGATCCCCGACCACCTACGGATGTGTTTTCCCAGGAAATGAACGAGACAGTGAATGTCTTGGTGAATGACGGATCAAGTGTAGGCGCTTATACACTTGATCTGGTTACACCTCCGAAGTCATTTTTCGAGGTAGTCAAGTTGCCAACGCTAGAATCTAAAAGATTCTTGCGAGATCTGCGTAGTGACAAGATCAAGCATATCTGAGTACTCGTCACAGAGGACGAGAGCGTCGCCGATATTCGGTCGGAACAAGTGTTTACTGAGAACGAACGGGTTATCACTAGTTTATCTATGAAAGAGAGTTTCCTCGATGAGAATACCCGGATTGAGCGATACACGTCTTAATCTTGAGAGTCTTTAAATACAAATTCTTTGTGTAAGATTTTGGTTGAATTCAGGAATGTTTTTTTCTGAATCTGTACCATGCGAGCTGCCCAAGGACAAAGGCACTCGGCATGAGATCGAACTGAAACCCGGCTCGAAGTACTGTGTCATGAAGCAGTGGACACTGCCTCGTAAACAGGTCACAGTGACCGACAAATTCTTTGCCGATCGCTTAGCGGCTAATCATGTGAGTGATTTAACATCCCCACACAGCTCTCCGACCTTCTGTGTGCGAAAGGCCACAGGAGGGTGGCGGATAGTGCACGCGTTCAACAAATTGAACGCTGCAACGGTACCGGCTCAAACGCCGATCCCAGGAAAGGATGTCATCATAGATGGTATGGCAAAAATAACATCTTTCGTCCATGGATCTGATGGATGGGTTCTATCAGATCCTCATGTGCGAACGGGATATCCCGTACACAGCAGTGAGCACTACGAGTGGTATGCTCTGGGGGTGGCTAGTGATGTCACAGGGGCTAAGTAACGCCCCCGCAACGTTTAACAGATGTGTTACGAATCTGTTGCGATCGGTGCGCAACTTCGTACCTATTCCGGGCTATGGATGGAAAGAAGGACGTAGAGGTTTACATTATCCGCGTTCAGAAGGTTCTTACACTAATGCGAGAGCATAAGTTGTTCGCGAACCTCAAGAAGTGTATATTCGCAGCGAGCGAAATGCCACTTCTTGGCTGCATCGTGGGTAAAACACGGCGTACGCTCTGATCCGGAAAAGATCAAGGCGATTAGCGACTGGCATGTGCCAGTCGACGTCAAGGGACTTTGAGAGTTCCTTGGCTTGGCAGCGTATTTGCACAAATACTCGCGCAACTACGCCGAGATGACCGCACACCTGTCTTGTCTGTTAAAGAAAAACGAGAGGTGGGCATGGAGCGCTGAGTTTCAGCACTCTTTTGAAGTCACCAAGAAAAGCTTGGTGCAATCGCCTGTGTTGGCGATTGCAGATCAGGAAAGACCATTTCATGTGGTCTGTGACGCCAGCGATTTTGCAATCGGCTGCGCGATAATGCAGTACGACTCAGACGGCGTTGAGCGCGTCGTCTATTATCAATCGCGTCAGCTGTAAGCAGCTGAGAGAAACTATCCGGTGCATGACAAGGAACTCCTTGCCATGAAATATGCACTGGCCAAGTTTCGGGCCTATCTATTAGGAGATTAGCCCTTCAGTGTTTATACCGACCATGCGTCGTTACGTACGGCCGTGAACAGTCCACACCTCTCGCAACGAATGGCGAGGTGGCTGTCTTTATTCGCGGAGTACAACTTTTCCGTCGAGTATAAACCAGGACGAATGAATGTCGTCGCTGATGCTCTCTTGCGTCGGCCCGATTTCGAGTCGACTGCTCAACACAACAGTAGGGGTGATCCTACTGTCGCGACACTATCAGTGAGTGTTCCATCATCGAATCTACTCGACGACGTGCGAAAAGCATAAGCAGAAGATGAGTCTCTTCTGCGATTGATGGATTACGTATCCAATCCATGCAGCCGAGCTTTGAAAAGCTTGTCGTCTCGATACCGCTCTTCAACCGAACGTTATTCTGTCCGTGATGGACTGCTGTACTATACAGCAGTCAACGGCGACACACCTCGTGTCGTCGTTCCGGCTCATAATGATTTGCGATTGCGCATCATGTATGAGTGTAACGATGCCCCAACAAGTGGACATCGCGGTAGAGAAAATACTTACCTCATGGTGAGTCATGACTTCTACTGGCCCCGCCAGTATGCGTTTGTGCGCAAATACATTCGCGCTTGCGAAGTTTGTCAACGGGTAAAGCCTAGTCCTTCATCCCGCGCATCCTTGCAGCCTCTTCCGATTCCGGCAGAGTGTTGGCAGTCCGTATCGGTGGACTTCGCCTTCGGGTATCCCAAAGACGTTCACAGGAATACTAATATTCTTTTGTTTGTTGATGAGTTCAGCAAGATGGTACATCTTGTTGCTGTACCGGAGTAAATCGCAGCCTAGGTCTGTGCGCGTGTCTTCATCGATACTATCTTCCGACTTCACATTTTACCCCGTGAACTCGTGTCTGATAGCGACCCCCATTTCACGGCGTAGTTCTAGCAATCCGTGTTCTGTTCTGTTGGAACACGTTTGACGATGTCAACTTCTGACCATCCCGAAACAGATGGTCAAACGGAACGCGTCAAACGCGTTCTCGAAGAGATACTCCGAGGGTATGTCCACTCGTTTAAGAGCTGGAGTGAGTTTTGTCGATGGCGTAATTCGCCATCAACAACTCGGTGCACGCGTAGACAACGCATACACCGTAGTTGACAAGGATGATTCAGCAGTGAAATTTCTGCTGACTCGCGAAGCGGTTGTACGCTTCGTTCAAGACTCTATTGCAGATGCACTAGACAGACAGAAGAGAAACGCAGACAAACGTGGAAGAGCAAATGTTCTTTCATTGGATAAACGAGACCTATTTTTACTGTCTACACTAAACTTACCGAAGCACGCAGTGACAAAAGTGGGAAGCAGTAAATTACTGCCCAGGTACATCGGTCCGTTTCGTGTGTTGCGCCGAATAGGCAATGCATACACGATTGAACTGCCCCGTAAGATGCGTACGCATCCTACTTTTTGCGCTGGACGTCTCCGCCCGTACTATCAGTACGAGCCCGTTTCGAGATGCGAAGAACACCTCCGCGGCCGAGAGCCGAGACCACCTTCGAGTGGTCCCGTTTCAACGAGCCAGTCTGGTCCACTAGCGAAGCGACCTGTTCACGCAGTTGAGCGATGTCTCGAAGAGCTACAGCCAGCTCGTCATGAAGAAAACGAGTCGAACGTTCGTTCTCAAGTTGTGCGAAAGAGTCGAACGTTCGTTCTCAAGTTGTGAAAATGTGGCACGACCGACCGAACGATCGTGCCTTAGGAAATTATAATTATCCCTCACAAGATCCTAAAGCTCATAACGCCGAGTCCGCTCGTAATCTAGGTATTCTTCAACGGTATCGTTACACGGTTTAGCTCTTGAACATCAAGCTGATCCGACACTTGAGCCGGATCAGGTGTTCCCACCGCCATCACATCCTTTGGTGGACTCAAGCGGTGGTTAACGCTTCCTAGTGGAGCGCACTTTGAACCACCGCAATGTGAATGGCGTCCGGACGAAATACCTTGTCCGCTGGCGTGGCTATCCACCGGCGTGGGACAGCTGGGATCCTCGTGCTCAGCTGTTTTTTTGAGGTCCTGGGTCTCGTCGAGCAGTGTGACGAGACACACCCGCTGCGTTCGAAGAAGGGCCGTCGGAAAAAAGACCCGTTCCCCCGAGCGTGAGTACAGGGATTGCAAAGTGTCAATCCCTTCGGCCATCTCAGAAGAGATGCGCGCCTCCAGTAGGGAACATTAGGGAATTAGGCCTCCCGAGGTGCACGCTTCGAGTTGCCCAGGCAACCTGGACAAGAAACACCCCACGAGAGACAGGGTAATCCTGCCTCTCTTGACAGTCGGTGCAACCCGTATCGCGCCCCGACTGGGTCGCATTTCTTAAATCTGATGCGAGCTGCATCAAGTTTGGCGAGCCAGGCCTCACGGCCAATGCATTCGATGTTATAGATAAAGGTATTCCATCCTAGAACCAAAGCTTTGCCGTCTCGAACACGCCTACCATTGTACCACCGATGTTTGAAAAACGCATCGGTGAAGAACTCTTCCTCAGCACGGACAGTTTCCGTGCTGGAATCAGATGGGCAAATCTTCCTGCAATCGAACAACGGGATTCGATCCCGTGCGGTAATCATGCCGGCCCACCGGTCCAACTCTAAGTATGGCGGCATCCATAGAGATTCCACTTGAGGAGCGTGGCGCAGGACATTCCGGTTCCTTGCCTCTTGATTGGTGCCTGCATGAGCAGTGGCACCAGTGTTACCCGGTCCTTTGAGTCACTATGCTCGTCGTGATGTATAGGTGCATCACCACCATCCCTACGCGTCCTATCGTTGGATGGACTTGCGTGAGGCGGAGACTCATCGGAATAATCACTCGATCCGAAGATCTCGGTCATGATACTGCCGCGCTGACCAGAGCCAGTCAGCCTGGCTTTTCCAGCGTCCGCCCCGGGTGATCCGGAGGCATGATTTGTTGCCTTTGAGCCGGATACATCATCCGACTCACCGGAATAGATGAGCTCTATCTCAGACGTATCTTGATTACGACTCGTGGTACCCGCTGCAGACGCAACGGATGTACCTGTCGCACGTGGTGACTCACCACGTAGAGGATTCACGACAACAGGCGACGAATCGCCTGCTGCTGAGGCGTGAGAGGCACTTTCCGCGGCCGCACGCATTCGTGCAGCCGCCCTTCTTGCTGCTGCAGTAGCAGCTCGCGTGGTTTTGGAAACCATACCCTGGATTGGCAAATGAATGGGATTTGACCACCAAGTGCTCCTTTTCTAGAGTGGTCCAACGGTTGTCACCACGTTTCAATCAATTTTAGTTCAATCAACGGTTGATGGACGGTTAAGGGGGGGTGATGTAACGGGTTAGCCCATTACATGAAATTGACACCAAACGGTGTCAATTGGTATATTGTCTAGTATGACAATTTTCTACCTATATTACCCGAGATGAATAATGTTGAAGGAATATTATCCCCTTTTGGATAATCTTCATGCGCTGCTCCAAGATTGGTTGATATCAGACATTTCAACCATAGATTGCCACCAATCGCTGCTAGACGCGCGTAATGAGTGGTGAGCAGGTTGTCGTCATACGACGGCGTGGTTTAACATAGTTAGATAAAGATTAAAGTTATATTGATAGCTTAATTACATTGATTGCAATTATCTTTTCACCCTTAATTAAACGAGTCGTTTAAGTAGATTAGCTTCCTCTGCACGTACTAGTGTACATGAAGTCTCGTGGCACCCGGACTAAGGGTGCCCCGTTACACTAGCGGTGTCAATTTAGTCTTGTACCGGTTATTGTACTCCAGGATGTACAGCTTCAGCACCTAAACACGATGACTCATGAAGGGTTTTCCCCATGGCGCTCATGTAGTTCCTCAAAAACTTTTGAGGAGTTTTGCCCTTTTTAATCCATTCATCATAGCCCTTTTTGTAGAACCTCACCCTTTCCGTCTTACCCCTTTAACTTCGGATTGCAGTGATCTGCGAAGCTGCTGGATCAGACGACAGTTGTTTTAACCTCTCAATTGCCTCATGGCTACTTTAAGTCTGCTCTATCTGTCCAATACATATTTATAAACCTTCAATCTATCCAAGCATTCCATTCTTATAGACTACATCAGCGTTGACCCAGCTCTCTGGCGTGACGTGCTTCGAAACGTTATCTACAAGATATCCGTATATAGAGAATGATGAAGGAAACCTTTCCTCATCATTAGTTTTTTTGTTGGCACTAGCAGTTGAAAATCAAGAGCACCATTGTAATCGACAAAGGAAGGATGAGTGCTGGCTGAGACGTTGCCTTTTGTCATGTTGAAGCCTTATATGCTCAAGGACCTCACAAATATTACAGAGATCGCATGGAGAGCCGCATGTTTCGCAGAGTAGAGCTACAATGTGAAAGCAGTAGTCGTTGGCATTTTGGAGGTAAGAATTTTAGTTTATAAATGACCAGACATATTCGCGTTTAGAGCCCTGCAGGACGAACGCCGACCTGATAGTACAGCCTAAAGGGTTCTACAAACTACCACTTTTAAGTTATTTCATGCGCAGCTTAGAGCCAATCACCCTTATTAGTTACTTCATGCGCAGCTTAGAGCGAGTTACCCTTATTAGTTACTTCACATGCAGCTTAGAGCCGGTGTACCGTAACGCTCCATAATTTGATTATCAAATCGTCTCCAGCAGTGAATTAAAAATCAACTTTTTGTCAAGATAAAAAAAATTAATGCAACTTTCGCTTAGGGGAGATGTATCAAATTTACGCATAGCATTCTCAAATACCAACATCAGCTCGCACTCGTTATTTAAAAATGACAGTAAAATGAGTGGCTGCATATTCTTGTCCTGGCTGCATTTTACTGGGTAAAGACTCTCGCAAGGAAAGCGCGTTTTGAATTTTTCATCCCATAGTTCAAATTACGAGTACCTGGCTCTAGAATAGTACATTTGTGAAGCACAAGTGCTTGTCAGCTGACAACATACACAAATAAAGAGGCCTAAAAGTTAAGTAGTACTGCATTAATGCCAAGACTAGTCCTTTTTGGGAACTCACCGACCTTTTGTGTAGGAGAGATAGCGTTACTCTTAATTCAGAGAAATAATTCTAGACTCGTAAAGACTCCTGGTGTATCAAGCTAAACGGGTATTAACTTAAAAGTTATCAAGTCTTTGCAGACTTAGTTGGCCTTTATTTTAACTTTTTTAACAAGCTCGCAAGATTCTATTCATGGTACAGGAAACACATGATCTCAAGGGAATCACGTGGCAGTAACGCCCAAGAGTTCTAGCATTAACGCAGGAGCGTAAATTTCTTGATCACAGAGGTCATATAAAGACACGTGTCTGAAATGATAAATTTATCTGATGTACTTTAACTTTAAACTATGCTAAATAAATGGAGTAGTCCTAACGTGAATTCTTCATGTGTTACCACACCTGAACTACGCTGTCCTATATAAGACATAATGACGATAGACATTATACATACTTAACCGGTTAGGCATAGTATTACCGCTTGGCGTATGCAATACTACAGTACTCCTATCAGTTAAACTGATCTCTTTATCTGTATTTTACATCAGCGTACCAAGATATTACACCCGTTTGTGTATCCCGTTATACTCTTATCCAATATGCAGTCTATACTTCGAATCGACATTCGTCACCTTTTTCATTGAGATAGCTTGGAGAGAACAGATGAGCTCACGAGTTTTGGTGAGTGGATCAAAGAATTCTAGGGTGGTCGTGAAGAAGATAATTTCGAACTACGACAGATTGTGGAAAAGAATTGATGGGCTGACAAGCTGCGCGATATTGAGGTCGAGAAATGTAAAGCCATGATCAATTAACAAGATACCACAACGCTAATCAAGATACCAGAATCGAAAATATATATGGTGTAAAGGCTAAGAAAAGGATTGAAGATCGAGGGTGACCGACGAGCGATCAAGATGATCGACGATGAGAGAGGAGAATGATAGATCGGGGAGATCGACGGTCGGGGAAATCGACGATCGATCGGGAGCGGACCACATTTGCGAAAGAACAAGTTATGACATACAGAAGACACAAGGCATATGCCAACTCTGTCTGATGTTAATCAGCCAAAAGCTTATAAATCATTGCCTATCTGTACACAAGGGTATGCTGCCATGTGTCCTCTGCATTCCCTTTACCGTTTCTTTGCGTTTATGGTCCGCTCCTCGTCAATCGTCGATCTTCCTGAACTCCGATCTCATTTATAAATTTGATCACCCTGTTTATTCTTTAAGCTGGTATCGTGATAATCGATCTTGATATCTTGACATTCGATCTCGACATTGTACAGCTTTACATCTGATTGATCCTAATTGATGACCAGTCGTCGTTTTGAATTAATCAACTTCTCGATCACTTCAGTTTATTTAAACCGCTTCATCACAGCCGTCCTCTGCGCTGATAATTGGCATCAAGTTCTTGTGTATTTGCATACTTTTGCCAGTCGTTTGCTCCACATTTTATCAGCATGTTTACCTGCATTACAGGTACAGATACAAGGAGGGATCTGATGATCGATGTAACCCCCCCCTCCACGGGTCCGTCCGGTATAATTAGTTTTTACCGCCAGATGTGACTCTACTTCGTTCTTCAGCATCTTTTCCAAGTAGTCGGATGAACTACTTTCCTGCGGTCGCATATCGATGATCTCTTTGATTGCGCAGAGTCCCGCTAAGACGTGTAAAACGATTGCGGCTCCATCAGAGACCAACTATCAGCTCAAGAAATTTGTGGCGATTGCTTGGATCGCCAACTGCACGACGGTCGAGACTTCGCTGGACCGATTAGGCAATTTGTGAACCAGCGTTGCAACCATCTGCGCGACACGTTAGAAGATTTCGAGTAAATAGTTATTCTAGTGTAATTGCCCGATCAAGAAGGTTGTCTACAGGAGATTTCAATTCTAAAGTCTGCCCTTTTGAAGCTTAACGCGGCCGTCATGCAAATCAGGAGAAACATTGGCGGCAATTGGCATCTATTAGAAAGAAATGACTTCGGCAATTACGTCTTTCAAGAGTTACGATGATCGAGAAAAGTGCCAGATAGTCGATGAGAAGTCTTACTCCTCTGCACGCCAGTCCGCGATCACGCAGGAGTTGACACGTGACAAGAAAGATGTGTACACCTTTCAGATCGAGCGTGATCA